AAAAATCCTGTGAAACCTGCTTTTCTAAGAATGTTCTCCATTTTCTGATAAGGGTCTGAACAGGATATGAGTTTGTTTCCCAAAGTTTTGTAGCCCTTTAGCTAACAGACCCTGACTCAGAATAAGCCCTTGTAGTTCTTTGTATGTTATTGTTTGATCCTTACTGTCTGACAGTGATTGATGAGCTTTACTTGTATTCCTGTGCAAATTGAACCCAATAAAAGCCCACTGAGGAAAAGGCTTAGCCTTTCTCCTTTGAGAGATCGCCATCGCCACCTTTCCTGCCCAAGCAGATCATGTCTTGGTAGACTTATCCTCATCCATGGTGGGTGGAGCCCGCCCACACTAGATATGTCACCTTTAAGAGTGGGGGCCATGTCCCAATCATCCAGGGCACTATTTGTAAATCTCTCTCCACCCCTTGACCTCAAGGGGTAACAAGAGCTACCCAGTGCATGTTGCCCTCGCTTTAAGCCCTCCAGAGCAGGCAGGAGAATATTCCCATTTTCCCATGCCTAGTTTTCAGCAAGATATCCTTAGTCTGTACCTGCAGCTGACTTGGAGCAGATGTCCTGTGGAGTAAGTAATGCTTCCACCAGAGTTGGGCCCCACTTCTGACTCCTGTCATTTCGACTCTGGAGCACAGACCACAAGCATTTTGTCCAACCTCTCAGTGTAGGGGTGGCAGCTGCAGCTCACAGGCCCTGCTTTCAGAGACCATTGTTCCATTCCAGCAGCTTGGGCTACATGAAATTTCCAGTTAATCCACAAGTCCTGAGCCCACTATTGTACCAATGCCCCGGTAAAATGTGTTCCCTTATCACTTTCAATGATTAGAGGTCACCCATAAGCAGCACGTAACTGCTCCGGTGCAGCAATCACTGCTTTCTGATCTGGGTTCTGTGCAGGATAAGCAGCTAAAAGTCCTGTGGCCGTCTCCACACCTGTAACAGCATACTTATATCCCTTTGAACTAGTTAGGGGCCCAATTACATCCACCTGCCACTGGGTTAGTGCTACCCATCCCCGCACTACCCATCCAGAAGTTTCCACAGCCCTTTGAGGATGCTCTCGTGAGCAGACAACACAGGTCTCAAGTTTCCTGGACCTCTGCGAAGGTGACAGGTAACCCCCAAGTTTTGATAGTGGACCACACGGTCTTCTGCCTAGCATATAAGAGGCGACAGTGTAGCCACTGGACTACTTCCCTTCCTGAGGGACTGGCAGGTACCATTTCTAGCCACCACACCTTGACTAGAGTATCAGGCCCATCATTCCCAGGGGAAGCAAGAGATGCACGTCCAGTAACATGATTTAAAGTGATTTGTTACTGGTGGCCTAACTCCCAAAAGTCTTGCCACAAAGCCTGTCCCCACAATGGTCTATGCATAACCATCCATTTATTTGCATGCCATGTAGAGATCCATAATGTTAGCCCCCGTACACCGCCCAACTCTCAGTGCAAATAGTCAGGGATGGGGCTTCCTTGACCACCACTATCCAAACAACGTGGAGTTCAGCCCATTGACTGCTTTGCGCCATAACTATGTCAAACCAGATCGTACCTGTTTCTGGTTGGACAGCCACAGCAGTCTACACAGCAGGCTGGCCCTGCCTGGACCCACCAGTGTACCATGCATCTGAGGGAACAGATGCCTGCCCCTTCTGGAAGGGGCTAGTTTCTACCTTCTCTACAGGGGCAGGAAGATTTCTCATCTATATAAATAACTGGACCTAACACTTCCTGTAGCTCAGCCCACAAAGGGCTAGTGGACAGAGTACTCCTTTGCTGCAGATAGGCCCCCCACTTAGCCAACACGGGCATGTGAACCATTCCACTACGAGGCTTGGCCATCCAGTCCTGGGCCCACTCTGCAATGGGATACATGGTCCTATCACAGGGGCAGTTCCTATTACAGCCTCTGTGGCCAACAGGGAAGCATAACTACAGCCAACCGCTTTTCAGTCAAGGAGTCCCGTACCTCTACTCCTCCCCTCCACAGTTGGGTTCAGAAACCCAAGGGTCGATGAAGCCATTCCAATTACTGCCACAAACTCCAGCCAAAGCCTTTCTGTGTTACATGCACATTTAGCTCACAGGATTTAACAGGATATTTCCTTCCTCTCCTTGGGAGGTTGGAACAGCCAAATGGCCCTTAGACACACAGGATGGGCCTCCTCGGATCACACCCCTAGGGTTTGGACAAGATAATTTAGTCCTGCACCAGATGCCAGTGTGCGGGCACCAGGAGCTGCACTTGTGCAGCAGCAGTGCACACTGCCCGGGTGGGCACCAGTTGTTGGCACTGCCACTGCATCCCTCCGGTCACTGGGCCCCTGTTTCTGCAACTCCAGTGACTCCTGTCCCTGTGACACCTGGAGCCACTGTCATCTTCCAGGACCTCTCTGACAGGCGCTGAGCTCAGGTGGCAGCCTGCCGCTACCACCACCATGGCTCTCTGGCTGCTCATCAGTGAGCTTTCTGGGTGCCAGCACCTGCTTCCCTATCTCATGCCAGCTCCAGCCCACTTCCTCACATCCTCCCAAGTCACATCGCCAGCTCGAACAGCTCCCACAGTCACCCCTCTTTCTGTAACACCGCAAAGCTCAGTCCAGAGCACTTGGCCTTGACCCACAGGCACAGCAGCCCACACTACTCGCCTGCGGGGGTCCCCACCTCTTATGATCAGTGTGCTAGGAGCAGAGCTTTCCAGGTGCTGGCACTGCTGCTGCCAGAGCACCCAGCCTGGGCCAGCCCTCTGGCTGATCACTCTCTGTGTTCCACTCTCGTCTGGGCCAGGGGAAGCGCAGGGATTCCCAGACCCAAACTTCTCCCAGGAGCCATAGGCTGCTGCTGTCAGGGAACTCAGTTCCCCTCCCTCCACCCTTTCCTCCTAAATCACTCACTATGAAAGGAAAGGAGGTCGCAGCAGCTCAGCTGCTCAGAGGCTTTTTTACCAGGGCGCAAACTGAAGCCTTCAAGGCTTTTTTTTCTCTACCTTGGAGTTCGGGAGTTCGAGAAACTTCGCAGCGTCAAGAAGTGCAGTCTCCTCTTCGGCCTTCAGGGCTTCTGCTCCAATTTGGGGCTCTTGAAATTTCGCCGTCTTAAAGTGTAGTCTCCACCTCAGCTTGCAACGCTGAAACACCCAGCCCACGGCCCCCACAGCTGCAGAGGCACTGGGCTTTTCTAGGGTCTTCCCCCCCACCCACAGGGCTTTCTCCACTGTGTCGGGTGTGCCAGTGACAGGGTGGGAGGCCAAGCTTCCAGGAACCCTGCCACCAAATACTACTTGCTGGTGATCGGTGATCAGCCACTCCAAGCCCCCCTCCAGGGGTGCCTGCTGCATAGCATTCTGTGATAAATTCTGCCAACTATGCCAATTGTGTTGCCACCCTTCAAGGCCAGGCAGGTTTGTGGTATCTGTGCAGATGGAAAAATATTCATGGAGCTGCTGAGATGTTTGGCATGCCTTTATTCACGGGTGGGCGAGCCACGCACACTGCAAGCTGTGTGTCTATATGCATGTCTCATGTCATGGCCCCCACTCCACAGTGTGGCACCCATTGTGGCACATGTCCCCTTGCATGTCTTTCATCATCATCCCCCCGGCAGCAGGGAGTCCCTACCTGTTTAAGTACGAGAGGGGAACAAAGCTGGAAAACTGCCAGGACATTACATGACATAACGTAATTCTGCGCATGCAAGCTCACTTCGTTATGGGAACAGTTTATCAGACCCAGTCTCAAGGCCATGTGAACACTGGTTATCAGGCCCCTCCAAGGCTATGGGAACACTGCTCCCCTTAGTTACATAGACACCTGGGTGAGGAAGCCAGACTGCCTCCACTTACCCTACAAGATGATAATCAAAATAAACCATCTACTTACAATACTGATTATCAATACTACCTAGCTGTATTAAAAGTTTTACTTTCTGCTTTTATAATACCAATTGCATAGTATTATGCCTGAAGATGAAAAATAAGAACAAATGTATATATGCCACTGTTGTCCATTTTATATAGTCTGTATTTATTATTTACAATTTTATTACAAAAGTGACTTTCCAAATACATTGCATATGTACAAAAGTCATTTTACCTTAAATAAAATCATGAGAGTACTGTTTACTTAAATGTTCAGCAAATGAAACACTTCTGCAAATCAATTTTTTAAATTCAGACTTCCTTCCTGGTGTTTATTAGAAAATAAACCCAATCCACAGAATGAAATACATGTAGTAAAACCTCATTAATCGGAATCAAAGGAAGATCAACACAAATGGTGGAATGTTCAGAAAGATGCAATTTTGCTAACTTTTCAAGCCTGTTAACTTATATTTAGCCTATTAAAATATTAAGATTCAGTGCTTGGCACACAATCAGATCTTAACAAATATTTGTGCATTCATCAAAGTACAAAGTAACTAATTTCTATTACAATTAACCCACTAGTAAGCAAAAAAATATTTTTAAAGGCCAAGGCTTTCCTCTCTCTAGAAAGTGGCTAGTTTCCTTGAAATCTTTTTAAAAACTATTTATTTTTTTTGCTTGTTTTTACATGTTATGAAGCAGTGATGTTCTAATTAATGAAGTTTGACTATATTTGGGAATTCATATTTTTTGGATACTGCTTTCCCTCAAAATATGAATTCAATACAAAAATCACTCCCCCCCACCAGAGTCAAGACTTTGTTCTTTGTTTTCTGACACTATGTCAACTAGTCATAGCAAATTAAAATCTAATTTTCCAATACTACCTCACATTTTCCCCTTCTTTTATGTCAATCTCTGCTGTTTGAATGTACTAATGGAATACAAAATAATTTTATCTTTTCCAAACAAAAATATATGAATAATCAAAATAAGCCATATGGCATTATGAAGTAAGATAAGTTATTCTATGATTGCATGCTTTAGAATTATACCCTCCAACAGTGTAGACTCTAAAAAAGTTGACTTTTCTAGATAAACACAGCATCAGTTCCTCAGTTACATTTTGAAATCAGAGGCTTTGAAAACTTCAATGCCCTTTTGCAAATGCTAACTAACTTTTGTAAAGTCAAATTTACTCAATCATTAACATTATATGAAGGTCATCAATATAAAAGAAACCAGCAAAAACTATGATTACGTTCTGTGCCTTTAAAAAGCTATGCTAGTTATTGGAATTTTCTAGTAGCACTTAAGTAACACAACACAGACCAGGGCTAAAAGAACAATGAAGTAACAAATATATATATGTTAAAGAGACAAATGAAACATCATATTAAATTTGACACCACCTTGAGGACTGTAGAAAAAGTTAGTATACTGTGTGACTCATCCCATATTGCCTGTATGGAAGGTTCAAGGGAAGATACAGTATAGTATTTTAGCTGCCAGTACTGTCAGTCTCAAGAGGCTTCAGCCCAGTACAACCCTTGTCAGAGAAATTTGGCAATAAAAAAGTTTGTTCCTTTTTTTCACCAAATGTGGTAAAATAAACCGACAGCCCCAAAGTAATGAAGACTCATTTCAAGTAATTACGCTGCTTATAAGTTTTATTTACACAGTAATTGTTAATAGTGGTTTTTAGTGAATTCCTTGTATTTACATTTATATACACATTTATACTTGAAAGGTAAAGAAACTGTACAATAATAAAAATGAGAAAAAGAAATACAGTAATTTAGGTCCAACTCAGGAAGAAAATACACAAAACAAAGATTAAATTCAGGCAGGCAGTATAACCTCAATGAGATTACTGCCAGGGCTTACAGTCCCTCTATCAGGGTCAGAAACACGAAGGAAGTAGTTACCAGAGTCAAAATGGTACTGTAAAACCTACTAAGACCCTGGGCACTCCCTCAATATTTCATTACACTACTAGTTTCCATTAAGCAAGCTCCTATGACAGGAGTTAACTTCTGAGGGTTCCAATAGTGGTCCCTAGGCTAGAATGACCCATGGGGTAAAAATATATGGGCACATCTGGTCCCATACTCCTAAAGAGGCAGTCACTATACTAACAAGGTACTCAGGCTTGTTAGATTGAAGACAATATACCACTCACAGAAAGAGTGTGCTTAAGTGTTGTTTCAAACAAAACTGCAACACAGAAGCACACTACAAATCTAATTATTAACCAAACAGCATGTTATATAGACATCACTCATAATACTAAAGTGATTTATTTTAGGTTTAAAAATGAAACATATTATAATAAATTTAATGTCAATTTACCAATAATTAATAATCTCTTTATCTACTATACCATCAAGATTAGACTCATTACAAAAAAAGTTCATTGTATCCTTTTCTCTTACTCTTATTTTCATTGATTAGAAAATTATGCACAGTATTTTACAAGTCATGGACTTGGCTACATATTAAGATTTCAAATTTCAAACTGAAATTAACAAATTTTATTTCTACAAACAGTGAAAGAAATTCCAAGTCTTGCCAAGTAGCATGCTATTTAAGAACTGTCAGAATTCATACTTTTTAATCTTACCAATGAAAAACCTAATTTACATTTGTAGACATACTCCTAAAATCAAGTCTTCAGTCCTCTAAAGTGCAAAGAACTTTCCTTCAAATAGTTAGCTTTTTAAATTAATAGATGAACAATTTTTAGACTAGAAACAGAAAGTCTAAAATTCTTCGAGTACTAGGAATTCCTTAAGATAAAAAAAACAATTTCCCTTCAAAAACAAATAGACAGATACTTGTAGAAAAACATCTAAACATATGCAAATCAATTTCCCAAGTATTTCCAGTTCCCGGATAACCAAAATTTGCCCCAATCAGTGTATGAAGATAAACAACTTCAGTAACATATAATTTATACCAAAGTTGCTTACTTTTGGTCTATAATATCTTAAAAAGTTCAGAACTAGAGATAGACAATATCTGTACTAAGGTATTTTTCCAAATAGTTTTTTGGAAGTTAAAGAGTAATATTTAACAATCCTGCTCTGACCTCCAAAGTGCCTTTATGGTAACTGTTAAAAAAGAAAAGATGCTATAAAAATTTGAAGTATCTCCAAAGCTGTTAAAAAATTTTATTGCATTACTGTTCACTCCAAATCACTTAAACTTTTTCCTTTGTAAATGACTCTGCCTACAAAATACTATCTTATTAAAATACTGTCAATAGGTTACTTATTTCATTTACTTCAGCCATGAACTTCCAAATCAGCAGTTTTCCATGTCTTGATTCTTTTAGATTTCTCCATCCTTTTTACATAGGAAACAAAAAACTTGCATCAAAAAACACATTTATATTCCAATTAGTCTGTTAATTTTGAAGATTAGCTTTTCAGAGCAGGACTACTATTCTTGTCTCCTTCTTTAATATCCTTCATTACAGATGCAAAGACCTGAAATTATACAGAGTAAAGATGAATCCTCAAAAAACTATTATGTAGATTAAAAAGGTTGAAATAACTACATTGTATTACTATGAAAAAGCTTGCTCTGGCTGGTGTGGCTCAGTGGACTGAGTGCAGGCCTGTGAACTGAAGGGTTGGCAGTTCGATTCTCAGTCAGGGTACATGCCTGGGTTGTGGGTCAAGTCCCCAACTGGGGGCATGTGAGAGGCAACCAATCAATATATGTCTGACATATCGATGCTTCTCTCCCTCTCTTTCTCCCTCCTGTCCCCTCTAAACACAAACAAATAAATAACCCCTCTCTCTAAAAATAAATAAAATCTTAACAAAAAAGAAAATAAAAACCTTTAGTATATGTTAACTCTGTCCTCAGAGCTTGAGGGGGACAAGTTTCAGACAGCCATTCTCAAATCCTTTTGTTTCAACCCAATTTTATGGTATATAATTAGATTCCAGTTTATATCACTTGTTAAAAACAAGGTGGGGCAAAAGTAGGTTTACAGTTGTCTATATGGAAAATTTTACAATAATTAATAAATAATAATAAGAGAAGAAACTCTGGGTATTGTGTACTCATGGCTTTACATGTAATTTTGCTCTATCCTTTATTCTTAAACATGTTCTGGACCAATACTCCTACATTTTATTTTCACAAGCAATAAAACTGTGAGATTTTTTTTATAATGCCTACTGTCTATCATTCATGGAGCTTAACCTAAGTTATTTAACTTATATGGCCAGTATTTGCTTCCTGAACAAGAGTAAGGATCTAAAAAGCCAGGATCATACATTATTTTCTTTCTATTGCAAACCCTTAGTATACAGCAGGTGTTTACAAAATTGCTGTCTGTTTGAAATACCAAAGTAATAATATATTTTACCTGGCAAAGACATGATTACTATAGGTTGTACTTCATTGAACTCATAAGATATTACTGAACTTACAGAAAAATAAATCCACGGGTTTGGAGAAGTCAAAGAGGTGCTGTTTTAAACTTGCTCTTTCAAAGTCGAGAATTATTTTTAATAAAAGACTATTTTTATTTTAAGCACTAACATTTGAGAAATACCTTTGTTATATAAAGTTAACTGATGGTTTTAATACATCTATGAGCAGGATGAAAACGTCACTCTACCTGAGTCCATTTTTTGGTGCTATTTTGCATCTGAATGGCAGCAATACAGCTGAACAGCTTTTCTGATGTGATATCTTCTGGTAATTTAGTTAGAAATTGTGCTATATGAATAAAATCCATCTGTAGGAGGATATCTTCATATAATCGGAGGATTCCTAATCCAGTCCTAAATAAAAATTCCTCCCCATCTCTGCAAAATACATCCCAGACTCGACATGCCAGATCAAGTGGTAGTGATTTGCTATATAGAGTGAAGATCCTAAAATTAGAAGAAAAAATAATCACTGAACTTTTTCATTTATTTATTCATTCACTTATTAAGCATCTCTCTATAAAAAGTACAGTGCTGCTCTGGCTGGTGTAGCTCAGTGGATTGAGTGTGGGCCTGCGAACCAAACAACCGCAGTTCGATTCCCAGTCAGGGCACATGGCTGGGATGCAGGCCAGTTCCTAGCAGGGGACGCACAAGAGGCAACCATACATTGATATTTCTCTCCCTTTCTCCTTCCCTTCCCCTCCAAAGATAAATAAATTAAATTAAAAAAAAGAAAGAAAGAAAAAGTACAGTGCTTAATTAGAAATAAAAAGGCAAATAAAATATGGCTCCTTCCCTCAAAGAACTTTAATAATACAAAATTAAGTAATAAACAATGAAATTATGTGAGTTTACCTTACGTAGAGACATGGCCCAATATAAATTAGAGGGCAGAACAGCCTAGTTGTCAAGGGTTTGGCTCTGAAACCAGAATGCCAGAGTTTGAATCTTAGGTATGCAACTTATTAGTTGTGTTACCTTGAGCAAGATTATTTATTCTTGTCTCTCGGTTTCCCCATTAGTAAACAAAAGATAATGCCAGAATTGGTTTGAGAATTAAAGGAGTTTAATAAACTCCTGCCAGAACTGGTTTGAGAATTAAAGTAGTTAATAAATGTAGTGTTTTTAGAACAGTGACTGGCACATAAAAAATGCTCAATAGAAGTTAGTTATTAATATTATTATATAAGAAACCCAAGTATCATCTTATAATAACCTACATATGAAATTATAAAATCTTACTTCTCTCTTTTCTCCTGGTTTTTCCTCCAGTGTTTTTTTTTTTGCCCTTAACCAAACTTGACCTTCTATTTCTTTTGGAGCATGTAGTGCTCCAATAGAATCACCAAAATGGTTTTTCCCCATCCTTGCTGACAACGTCTGATCATATAATTCATTACCCAGTGGTGCTTCAGGGTGGCATTCTGGTTGGAGAAGAAGAGGTGCTAGAGAACTTCTCCTTAAAGTTGCATTGGCAAAGAAAGTACAGTTTTTACACAGACTTTGTTTTTGGGGGGTGAGGGCTAAGGAAAACTGAGGAAGGGAACTAAAAACTCTCCAACCAAACCAAACAAAATTCTTTTGCACTGCTACTTATTTTCAGCATTTGTATGTAGTAAGTTCAATAGAGGCAGTGAAACAAAAATACATGTCTACTTCTTAAAACAGAGAAACACATATTTGATTGCATAACCAAAAAAATACTCTTGGTGGTAGAGAGAATACTAACTCACTATTCAAAAGGGAAAGGATACTAGCAGGGCCCAGGCAGTTTCTAATACATAGTACTCCCTCATTGTTTCCATCCTGCTCCCTGTATCAGTTGTGATCCTGACTGCTTCATGTTCACATTCTGCAAGACTGACAGCCGAGTTATTTTTCCCCTTCTTTAGAGATGTAGTATCTGATCTAGGCCCTCTGGGTCCCATGATATAATTACCCATTACCTTGGGCTCTTCCCACAGGAACTCAAATGATCTTAGTGAGAATAAAAGAGAATATATTAAAAAATAACTTGGTTTCTTAGAAGTCTAAATAAAAGAAGCCCAAACACTTGGGAAGATATCATATTTGATGAATGAGATTAATTATTTTTCTATATTAAAACTTACTATGATGAAACCCACTGATTTCAAATGATTGGGATTTCAACTTTAAATCCTAATCATTTGAAATGTACTCTTAACCTATCTTCAGATCAACTCTTCCATCTCTTTGGCTCACCAGAGTCTAGGCAAACCCTGCAAGTTAAAACAAAAGAGCTGGAATTGTAAAGTTGAAAAAAGGTATTAGCACCTAAATAAGGCATCATTCTTCTGCCAGAAAGCTGGACAAAGCCTTGAAAAATAAAGCCTTAAGTTAAAGAAAAATGCACACTATCACAAAACCCTTATGTGTTAACTAAATTAAAGCACAGCAGTTAACTTTCTGAAAGCTTAATATGTATTAAACTTTGAATGAGATAATCCATGTAAAACAAAATATTATTATTCTTATTTCACAGATAAGAAATTAAAACACAAATGGAAAAATTCTGATTTCAACCCCAGAGTCCACGCTCTTAATCAAATGCCTCCCCACAAAAAATTGAGAGTTTCTGTATCGGTAAAGAGTTTTCTTTATTTGTATGATCCTGTGCATGGCATTTACTCTAGTTCCTAAAACACACAGAAAGTTATAGTTTGTTTCCTTTTAATTATTTAGGTACATTATGACTTACCAGTCTATCAAATATATGTCGGGTGTAAGACTGTAAGATTTGAAATGAAGAAATAGTTTGGAGAGATTTTCTTCAAAAAATACTTCAAATGTTGCAAAATATTTCAACATCTAAAGACAGAAACATCAATAAAATTATTTGAATGTGCTCTAGAAATAGAGAGAAATTAAATCCTCAATCATAAAGTAACAGCAAATCTTTCTTAGCACCTCTGAGTCTTTTCATCAAGCATGCATAAAACTATACTTCAATGAAAAGTTTATTTTAGATCAGATTATTTGAGTCTTCTATTGTTTTCACTCTAAAAGGGCATTCAGACTACTGACACTGACAGTCAGCAAAAAAACGATTCATTCCAAACGTCCATACCATGTTGTGATCCACACGGAAGAAGGCCAACTGGCATGGCTTATTCAGGAGATTTGCAAATGCAATGAAGGCATCTGCCTCTTCCAAATTGAGAATGAGAACTGCTGCTATGAAGGACATCCCTTGGACCTCCAAAGGGAAAAGAACTTAATGAAAATGGGCTTATAATAATAATTCTACACAGTTTATTTTATTGCATTCCTGAAAAATTACAGTAATACAAGGTAAAACTAACCAAGATTTCTTTTTTTCTCCTATAAAAGGTAAATGCAGACAACTCAATAATTACAAAATCTCCCTAATTTTAAATTTCTTGATCATGGTGTGGTTCAAAAAGTGCTATGGAAAATTTCAGGAAAAAGTATCAAATTTTATTTTTACTAAAAAAGCCTATCTCAGTGTACTACCTAGTTTATTTCCTCTTTGAAGTCTTTTCAGCGTATAGAATCACAAAATTTAATAAAAAATCAGGTGATTGTCTTCACTGTTATAACACATCTGTCTGAAGTAGGAAGTAAGGAATTAAGAATCAAAGAGATCTATGAGAAGTGCTGTTGAAATTCTAAGAAAGAAGAGGTTATGGAGATTGAGATAATGAGGCTGGATTCCTGGGAAAAGCAGGAGGAGAAAATAAGAAAAAAACATTTCAAGATGAGAAAGACGTATGAGTAAAGACATACAGAACCCACCCAGTTGCAGCACAAGATTTATAATGAAATAACAGAAGAAAGTAGAAAAAGTAGGATATATTTACAAATTGGAAAAGGCCTTGAGTAAAAGGTTAGGTTAACCAGATGCTTGCTTGTGGCTTATGACGAGCTACTATACATTTTTGAGCAGACAGATGGTATGAAACAGCTACTGTAAAAACACTCATTCTTTCATTAAATAAAACTTTATGAAGCACTTACTTCTGGTAGAGATATGTATATAGACTTACACAGAGAGGCCACTAAGAATATTTGCAATAATACCTTGGTCTCTTTCAACTTTCTTAGCAACCTTTAAACTCTTAAGCACACTTCAATCTGGATTCCCACTCATAACTCTACTATTTTGAAACTTCTTTTACTAGAGTGACCGATGACATTTATTGTAAAACCCAACAGACACTTTCTTACACATTAAGCAGAATTCCCTTTGCTTCTGTAACCCAAAATTTCTTTGCTCTTCTACTTCCCTGGCTTCTTCTATGACCATTCAATTTGCAATGTTTAACCAGAAGTCATAAAACCATCATCTTCTGACCTTTGTCTTAAAATAGAATTTTAGAGACCTCCCAATAAGATGGCTACACTGTACAACTTACTCCATTTTGTTGCATGTTCATTTGTACATTTGTTCACTCAACAACTATTTATTATGTGCTTACTGCTATAGGACAGGCATTGTTCTGGGTACTTGAGATACTGTACTCAGTGAATAAAAGATTCTTACAGTTTAGAAGGAGGAGACAGACCATAAACAAACAAGTAAATCATATGTTAAAAGGTGCTAAGTGCTTTGGAAAACATGTGGCAGCTAAGGAGGAATGTGCCAGATTTGGGAGTGGAAAGATTTTATTGTGCCTTAATCTTTGTTCCTTTATTCACCCACAGACCCCATCTTTCCCTCTACTCTCATCGATTTTTTCCTAATCATTTTGGAGAAAACAGGAACACTTTTTCTTTTTTATTATCATAGTTTATTAAATTTATGTACATGTGTTCAACCAGCTTTTGTTCTTTGAATGGGAAGCTATTTGTCTGTTAGTCACTTTTCTTTCTGTATTTGTTCTGCTTCCTAGAAAGTAAATCCTCTTCTCTGGCTTATAAGTAAAACTCTAAAAATAAACACAGCATTTAGAAATTTTAATTTAACTGAACAGAGAATGTCAAAACTAAAATATCCACAGAGGAAAAAGCCAATAAACAGCAAGCCCATCGACTGCAAAATTTAGAAGGCTCAGGAACTGAAGTTACCAGGTATCTCTGAAATTGAGAGGTAGGGCTACAAGTAGGATTGGCTGAAAATGTGCAAAAGAGGCAAGTCCCCTCCCATCCTTCCCTCAACCTAGACGCACAGTCAGGAAAAGGAAGGTTGGGGAGAAGGAGAGAAGGCACCATACTAACAACAGTTACAAATAAAACTACAAATTGAATGGTGAAATCCCCAGCTGCTCCCCCAAAAAGCTAGCAACCAGTCATAAACTACTGGTAGGAAACAGAAAGGTTCCTCTCTGGGTAGGTTGACAGGCCTGAAGAAAAAAAGACACAGAAATACACACACTTGGGAGCTAATCTAATATATACTTGGATAAGACAAGTTAAATGTTTATACTCAAAAACCAGAGTGAAACAAATACTTACATAACCAACATCAGGTCTGTAACATGTATATGCCCCTAGGATACTATGTAAGACATCATGATATGGGCCACCCTTTGGAGAGAAAATGAAATGTCAAACTATACAAATAATTGTTTCCAAGTTAATTCTCAAATAACATGTTAATAACTTTGGCATTTCCTAAATGACTAGTTTTAGTATATTTAATCATCAGAAATATTCTAAATGCACTCAGCCAAGATGTTTTTTAAAAAGTTGATGAAATATATAATTTATCCTCAACAAAAACATCAAACTCACTTGAGGAATACAAGCTATGTGGTTCATGAACCATTTTAAAGACTTCTGGGTTTGGTACAAGAAGATTATGAAGAAAACAGATTGTTTCATATTATGTAACACAATTTTAGGAGAAAAAACAATTAAGCTACACCAAATTAAGTTTACTAATAATTTTATCTTAATAATAAAAATTTTAATCTCACTTTAACAGTGTAAAGATAGAGAAATTCAATTGTGCTCGTAGCCATCCCGGCTCTCTAATGCCAGCACCTCCTCTAGCTTCCCAAGTGCAGCCAAGGAGAAGGGGGCTAAGTAAAGAGGTCTCCATACCATGACTCCTACAAAGCAGACTGCCCACAAATGGCTACCAAAGCCACTTGCAAGCATGCATCCTGTACTAGAGGGAATGCAGAACGCTTGTTACAGGCCTGGTACTGTGGCATTTGGTGAAATGAGATATTCTCAGTACAATGAATTTCTTTATTTTTAAAGTATATTTTACTGATTATGCTATTACAACTGTTCTAATTTTTTCCCTTTTGCTCCCCTCCGCCTGGTACTCCCTTTCTCTTCAGCAATACCCCCCTTAGTTCCTGTCCACTTTCTACATATAATTAAGTTCTTTGGCTTCTCTATTTCCTATATTATTCTTAATACCCCCTGTCTATTTTGTACTCATCAATTATGCTTTTTAATCCCTGTACCTTTCTCCCCATTCTCCCCTTTCACCCTCCCCACTGAAAATCCTCCATGGGATCTCCATTTCTATTATTTTGTTCCTATTCTAGTTGTTTGCTTAGTTGGTTTTTGTTTTTTTAGATTCAGTTGTTGACAGTTTAAGTTTGCATTTTATTATTCATAGTTTTTGATCATCTTTTTCTTAAGTCCCTTTAACACTTCTTATAATAAGGACTTGGTGATGATGAACTCCTTTAGCTTTACCTTGTCTGGGAAGCACTCTATCTCCCCTTCATTTCTAAATGATAGCTTTACTAGATAGAGTAATCTTGGTTGTAGGCCCTTGCTTTTCATCACTTTGAATACTTCTTGCCTGCAAAGCTTCTTTTGAGAAATCAGTTCATAGTCCTATGGGAACTCCTTTGTAGGTAACTCTCTGCTTTTCTCTTGCTGCTTTTAAGATTCTCTATCTTTAAACCTTGGCATTTTATTCATTATAATGTGTTTTGGTGTGGCCCTCTTTGATTTGGGACTCTTAGTGCTTTCTGAACCTGTATGTCCATTTCCTTCACCAAATTAAACAAGTTTTCTTTCATTATTTCTTCAAGTAAGTTTTCAATTTCTTGTTCTTCCTCCTCTCCCTGTAATTCCTGATTCAGATGTTGACATGTTTGGAGATGTCCCAGAGTCTTATTATCTTCTCGTTTTTTGAATTCTTGTTTCTTCATTCTGTACTTCATTCATTCTTGATTGTTTATTTCTTCCTCATGTTCCAAATCATTGATTTGAACCCCAGAATCCTTTCCTTCACTGTTGGTTCCCTGTGGATTTTTCTGTAGTCTTCATTTCTTCCCTATACATCTGCCACACTCAGTGAATTCTCTGAGTATCCTATCACCAGTGTTTTGAACTCTGCATCTGATAGGTTGGCTATCTCCACTTAGTTCTTTTTCTGCAGTTTTGATCTGCTCTTTCATTGGGCCGTATTTCTTTGTCTCCTCAATTTGGCAGCCTCCCTGTGTTTCTGCATATTAGGTAGAACTGCTTTAACTCTGTTTTGACACAAGTGTCACATTGCAAGGGGCAGAGCCTTAGGTACTGGCCAGGATGGGACAACCCACTTTGCCACTTTGTGGTGCTGTTAAGTGTGGGAGGGATCGGAGAGGGGACAATGCAACTTGCTGAGCTCTTGTCCCATCTCCAGTCATTTCCCATATGTGCCTAGTGCCCTTCTAGCTGCTGCCCTAGTGCTGAATCCCAGAGTGGGTGATTTTACATATGTTCTAGGACCTCGATGATCCTTTAGACAGACTCTCCGAGAAACCAGTAGTTTCTTTCACTGTCCCAATTGCCACTGGTTTTTACAGTCTAAAGTTAGGCTTTATTTCCTGATGCTATAACACTGGGCTGCACAGTCTAGCCTGGAGCTGGGATCACTTGATCCCCAGGTGTGCCTCCTGGTTTTTATCCACCATACCTGAATGTGGGACCATCTGTTCCACCCACCACTGCTGCCACTGCCACACTGTATCCTCTCTGCCCTGGCTCCCCATCTCTGCCCCTCTTACCAATCTAGATGAATATTTCTTCTTTAAATCTTTGGTTGTAGGACTTCCATACAGTTCCATTTTCTGGCAGTTCTGGTTGTTTTTTGATTTGAGGTTAGCTGTGATCCTCCCTATAGTTGTGTGAGGAAGTGAAGCGTGTCTACCTTTGCCTCCATCTTGGCCAGAAGTCCCAGTACACTGAATTTCTGATTCACAAACTTCTCTTCCATCATTTGGTATGAGAAATTGCTCAGGACTTCAAAACAGATCTGTGCTTCCAAAGTGCAACTACTGGTGCTTTGCAGGAGGCAAGTGAAGCCTATTAGGTTGGTCTTTTTGAAGACACCAACCTGTGTGCTATTCATGCAAAATCTGTAACAGTTATACCAAAAGATATCCAGCTAGCATGCCACATACGTGGAGAGCATGCTTAGGAATCCACTATGGCCCTGGCTGGTGTGGCTCAGTGGATTGAGTGCTGGCCTGTAAACCAAAGGGTCGACAGTTTGATTCCTAGTCAAGGCACATGCCTGGGTTGCAGGCCAGGTCCCCAGTAGGGGGAGCACGAGAATCAACCACACATTGATGTTTCTCTTCCTCCCTTCTCCTCTCTAAAAAGAAACAAAATGAAATCTTTAAGAAGAAAAAAAAGAATCTACTATGATGGGAAACATTTCACTCTTTCAAAAAAAATTCTCTTCTTCCTGTTATTGGTAATTCTGAACATTAGGTATTTTTTCCCATGGGGTCACAAGGTACCTATGTACATGATTCCCAGTGGAAAATACATGACAGAAATCAGGTATTGTCGATTTTCCCATTTTCATTTGTGTATGAATTTTTAAAATATAAATGTGGGGACATAAAGCATTAATGCAAGTCAAAATGTTTCAGTGAATAAGTTTCAGCAGTTCAATTTTATAACAATATAAATAAACCTATTAAATTTTTATAGACAATGCCAGCATTTTGATTTTTAAAAAACAAGTAAATTTCTCATTGATGGCAACTCAGTGGTGTTTATAGCACTTTTATCATACAGTAGATTCCATCCATTCCCTTTACTCTTCTGACTGAGTTGTTCCATGTGCAAGTACATGTTTTTAATGTTGTCTGTCTTCTGTGCTGTTCTTTAAGTTTACTAATACATTAAACTATAAAAAATATAGAGAAATTCCACATATAAAGATTTGAGTCATATATTAAGTACACATAAAATGTAATCACTTCTCATAAAGTGTAAGAAAGTTTTAAGAGTTTTTTCTTTTCAATTACAGCTGACGTTAAATATTATACTAGTTTCTGGTATATATATAGTATAGTGGTTAGACTTTTTTATACCTTACAAAGTAACTCCCCCCAATAGGTCTAGCATCCACCTGGCACCATACATAATTGTTACTATATCACTGGCTACATTCCCTATGCAGCACTTTATATACCTGTATGAAACTTCTTAACAGCCTTTGCATACAAAAAAACCCTTTTTTTTCTATTTCAGTAGTAATTCTGAAGTTGATATTATTAAGAAATTGATCTTAATAATAATTCATCAAGTACCTAAAATTATTACATGCTATGTTATCTGCAACACGTTCAACAAGTGGAATAAAGTAATAAATTTTCCTTGAAAATTTTCTTTTAAGTTTCACATTTTTATATCTAGTTCTCCAATTTTTATAGTTTTGCCTTTTAAATAATAATAGTTACAAATTTAAAGAATTTGTTCACTTGAAATTTTTAAAAAGTAGTTAAAAACTGATTAGAAACCCTCACCTTCTGAAAGATGTAGAGAGATGGAAATGTACGAGATATGTCCAACTTAATTAATTCCAGGCTGGCCTCGCGATCAGCAACAGATACACCTGTTTTTGCCAGGTAAATAAAATTAAAATTATTACTTGGCTATCCCCCAGTTCAATCTTGTAAACACACAATGACACATAGCATACTTGTTACTCATGGGAAGTTAAAAGTTGAATAATCAAGAAATTTAAAAGAAATGCCACATAGCTTTTGCTGGGACTTAGACCCTCTTCTGTGAAGAAAAATATCTATACATTTTAGCAGAAAATTATATGATAAAGAATTTCTACTTCCAGTTATTTTAGACTGTAGGTACGTTTTTTAGAGAGGGTAGGTAGTTGATTACTCCCACAATAACAAAAGGGAAAAAATACATTGCAAATATCCCATTAAAAAAAAAACATATAACAAAGTCGTATACACAGAGAGGTCTAGAGAATTTAAATCCCAGAAAGTGCAGACTCTTTCCTAGGCAACTGGATACCAGTGGTGGTTTTTCCCTCTAGGGTCATCTGCCAAGTCTGGGCACGGGTTCAGGATTGAGTAAACCACAGACAAAAAAGTATGTTGCTTGGGGAAAAAAGAAACCAGAAGAGCCTTTCAGAGACAAAGACTAATGTGATAAAGCCTGAATGTGTATCTGGTTTTCCTCTATGGATTTTTGCTGAGTGCTAACCTAACATATAGTGTTAGAAAGTTGGGCTAAAAAGGCAAATTGAAATCACCCAAAATCACATGGTCCTTGGTGAGTATCTCAAAGAGGGAGGAGCCTATAATCAAAATAGGCCAGTTCTTTCCAGTAAGATGAACTAAGTCTATCTAAAGCTGCAACCTTGGCCCAACTGCCTAACAAAAAAAAGAACAGATGTTTCTCCCTCTGTAGGAGAAACATCAGCTTTAGTTTATATATTCTTTTTACATATGCCTTTTGAGATATAGTTTAAATTTTAAGTTATGGAAAGAAGCAGGAAAATATAACTTATATTAAGGGGGAAACCAGCCAATAGAAGCAGACCTGCAGATGCTCCAGTACTGGAATGAACAAACAAGAAGATTAATTGTTACATGTTAAAGAAAATGGAGAAAAGATGGGAAGACATGTATGAAATGGAAGGATAAAGAATTTCAACAGAAACAGAATCTACAAAAAAAAGAAGTGAACATTCCAGAATTACGAAGCATAGTATCTGTATTTAAAGACTCATTGAATAGGTTTAATAGACTAGATATAGAAAAAGAGAAGATTAGTGAACTTAATTACATAGGTCAGTAAAAATAATCTAAAAGAAAAAAAATTTTTTTTAGGTATAAGATACTTGTGGGACATTATTAAATGTTCTGACATTTAATTGAAGTCTCAGAAGGAGAGACGAGATGGGTAGAAATAATATTTGACAAGATAATGGACAAAAAAGTTTAATGACAACTGAAAATTCTAAACACCAGGAAATAAGAAATTAGAAATTTAAATAAACCATTGCTTCTCAGTAGAACAATTCTTCATTTACATTCAATTAATTTCTACTGAAGTACAACTTTTACCACGTAATCATGACAAAATATCTCAGAAGCAAATGCTTAACATTTTAATTCTTCTACTTTTAATACTTCATACAATGAGTGTAAAAAGAATGATGAAACACCTACATCTTGAACCTTTAGTTTCCCACAAGAAGCTGATAGAGTTAACAGGTCTCAGGATGATACTTAAATGAACCTTTCTTAAAATCAAGTCTTCTTTCTAACCTTACTTAGCGGATTTTCCCCTCCCTACTGCTCATTTTTTTATCTTTTATTTTTCAATTACAGTTTACATTCAATATGATTCTGTATTAGTTTTGGGTGTACTGTTCACTTTTCTAAAACATAAAAAAGAGTGAAAGAGTGTTCAAGAAATTTAAGAGTTGTTTACATACTCATAGAAAGCCACTGCAAGATATGCACCATTTCTGTATTCTAAGTCATGTTCATTTTATAAAGTTTAACTTACAGGCAAGAGAAGGTTTGCTTTCTACCAAGTAAATATAGAAAGAAAAGTGACGGGCAAACAAATGGTTCCTCATTATTAAAAGACAAGAGATGTTTGAATAAATGTACCTAAATTTAATTAGCCATGATAATAGAAAAAATGATATTCTCCAAAATGATTAGGAAAAAAATTGGTGAGAGTGGAGGAGAGGGTATATGAGTGAATTAAATGAACAAAGATTAGGCATGATAAGAATTATAAATGATATATTAGGGAGTGAGTAAAAGTCAGTGAAGAGGAGGTACAGGAGGTTTCAAACATGACATGAACTTCATCTATCTGCAAGTTAAAAGTTAGCCTAAAAATACTTCACACAATTAGTCTCGCTGTGTGATTAAATCCTGGGCTCTGGAATCCAACAACCTGGGTTTATATCATGGCTTCATTACTTACAAGTTAACTATTTTGGGTTTCCTCTTCTACCATCCAGGACAATACTACCTACTTAAATGATTATTAACATTAAAGGAGATAATATACACAAATCAATTACTATAGTTCCTGCCACACAGTAAAAAAAAAAAAAATCACAGTTTCAGTGACTGAATTTTCATCTAGAAATTTTTGTTACAAAATAACCACACCTTTTCTCTTCAGCAAGGTGGCAGAGCAGCCTTCTCAGCAGATAAGAGATGCGGATCTCTGTGAAGATCCTGACTGGCAAGACCATCACCCTTGGAGTTGAGCCCAGTGACACCAGTGAGAATGTCAAAACAACAATCCAAGACAAGGAGGGCACCCTGCCTGATCAGCAGTGTCTGATATTTGCGGGCAAAACAGCTGCAGGATGGCCGCACTCTCTCAGACTACAACAGTCAGAAACAGTCCACCCTGCATTCGGTGCTTAGTCTGCAGGGCGGCACCATCAAGCCCTCCTTCCCCCAGCTCGCCCAAACACACAACTATAACAAGACAATCTGCTGCAAGTGTTACACCCACCTGAACCCTCTGCACGGTCAACTGGCACAAGAAGTGCCCCGAGAAGATTAAATAAAGCTCCTCTACCACTTCCTGGGGCCACGGGGTGGTCTTTCGCCTGAACCCATGGCCCTGGGGCCTCAAAAAATTTACTCTTTCATTGAAAAAATAGTAATAATCATACCTTCTGTATCATTCTCTGAACTTGTTTCACTAAAGCTTTTCCACCGTTCTTTTGCTCTTGATAAGAAGATTTCATAAAGTTCTGGGGACAAAAAGAACAAAAAATTCATAAATAGGAAAGAAATATATTCACACATTTTTATTTTTCCTCTTAAAAAAAAGATCTCACATAGGTCAGGTCTCCCTTATGTTGCTGACATTAAAAAAATGTAGCAAACTGAAGTACTTGATTCTACCAAACTACTTATTACACAACCATGAAAACAGCAAATGAAAATACTCCAGAGCAGTCATTCATATAGCTACAATATAGAATATATGTATGAGGCAGGTAGAGGTGCTTCTGCTAAAGAAGTATCCTTGTGGAATGGCAGAAACATGATTTTCGGAGTCAGACTTAGATTCAGATTCCAGCTCTGTCACTTACTACCTGTGGGACTTAAGAAAGTTACTTTGTAACTCTGGAACTTGGCTTTCTTCATCTGTAAACTGAAGAAAAATAATACCTACTCATAGGGTTACTGATGATTAAACAAGATCATTTATGTAAAGCTCCCCACACCTTATTTGCCCTTAATAAATGCTAATTCGTGCTTCCTTATTCCTTGAAACTGGTTTCTTCATTATGATACTGCTATCTAAAGCTATGTAAACTTTGATCAAAGGGTCACATACAAAAATCTCTACCCCTATCTTTACTTTAAGTGCCCAATTACTTTTTGAAACCATACTCTACATTTTCATATGCAGGATCTCATTCAAGCTTCAAGAACAGAAAAACTCTTTTTCTCAACTCTCAAATTTTAATTCTTTATTTTCTAACTAACCATTACATATATTTTAAATCATACAAAAATTTCATAGCAAATTTCAATGACAGAGGAACAGTAAAAAATATTTCTTGCCCACATACCAACAATTATATATTGACCCAAATACCAAGAAATTTTGCCTCAATTAATCCTGTTACAACATTTATGTGTTTTTAAAGATAATATAGACAAAGGAGGTTTTTAAAAAATTTATAAAGGTAATAAAAATACAGGATTTAAAAAAAAACTCAAGCAGTACAAAACACTATAGAATGAAAAATAAATTAACTTTCTTCAGATACAACTATGCTTACCAAGCGGTAAAGATGAGAATATGCAGTATAAGCACATATATATGTATCTTCATTCAAAAATAACACAAAAAAACAAAGTCGCACCATATTAATTATAGCACTGATCTGCAACTTGCTTTATTATACTGGAACTTGTTCCAGACTAGTGGAATAAGAGTGCTTTATTTGTTTAACAACTGCACAATATTCCAATATATGACTATACCATAAGTATTCTTACATTGCCAAGAATTGTATCATTATAAAATAACTTACTTATAGATTCTTATTATTCTTATTATTAAATAGATTCTTATTATTCTGATCTCATCTCCCTTCTGTTCACTTTTCATTATTACTAATTGTTTGGAAAGAAGAAATTTAAAAAACCAAACTCAAAATTTCTATTATTTATGCCTCATTCCATTTAGTGTAAGAGCTGGATGTAAGTTTTAAATGTAGATATATCATTTTTGCTGTTATCAGAAACCAAATCGAAGTTCACACTTTTTATTTCAAACTTCCTCCAAGCCAAGTCTAGTTTCATGATTGTACTCAAATTTAAAACTTTCTTGGAAGAAGAAAGGCCCAGCAAACAAATCCATCACCTCTGGGACCTACAAAATTGATCCAACAGTAAAAATGTGGTCATGCTTTTCAGAACATCAACGACATCTCACCAGGGAAGATTTACAATGCTCATCTATAATAAGAAGACCTGCATCTCAGTTCAACTTCTTGCTTGACTCTGCATGTTATTTTATTTTAAATCTCGAAATAGGTTGAAACAGACTTAAAGATGTATCTTAGGAACAGAAAATACTTTGAGATCAGTATATATTTCACTTTCCGATTTTTTGTCAAAGATGACATTGTACATACTCTCAGTAAATTTCACTTTCACTCTGATCTTACACTCATCACCAAAAAAAGAGCAAGAACAATTTTTTGAGATAGTGAACGATCTTACCCCTATTTTAGAAATGAAGAAAACTAAGACTTCTAGATGTAAGTAATTTGCCCAAGGTCACAAACCTAACAGATTGTAGAACCAAGATTTGAATCACATTTGACTGACATTAGAACCCTTATTCTTAATTACTATTCCATAATGGTTATGAATTTCATAATAAAACAAATAAAATAGGTAAGGAGTCAAACTACTATAGTCATTGAAAGTAAAGAAGGTTATCAAAAGTAAATTCACTTTGATCAAAATTTAGCTTCCTTTCCACCACTAATGAAAAAGAGAACGAGTTACTCATTCCATTCCTGAATACATAACTGTTTTCTTTTGAGAGAAAAACCAAAATTACTTTGAAAATAAACAGCCCAGTTATTTCAAGCTTAAAAAAAACTACTTGAGTACAGTATCACAAAAGATTAATGCCAACTTAGCCAATATTTCATTATCTACATTATCAGGATTTCTGACATGACACCTTTTCTAAAGCCGCAAAAGAAAAAAAAGTAAGTGATGAGTTTTTTAAACATTTGTTCAATTGAAGTTTCTTTCTTTTTTTAATTGAATTTATTGGGGTGACAATGGTTAATAAAATTATATAGGTTTTAGCTACACAAATCTATAATTCATCATCTGTATATTGTATGTCCGCCACCCCAATTTCCCTAAGTCCTTCCAAGGTGCTGTGGTCTAGCATTATCATTATCATTCAGACCTAGTCAGCACCTTTTGTTATTAACTCTTACACTTCCCCCACTTGGTGTTATTGTAATTTTATTTAATTTTTTTAACTTCATCAAAGCTACTCTACATTTTACTCCTGTCCTTTAAGTTTTAAGTTAAAAATAATAATTCCTTGAGAATCTTTTGTTTTTTTAACTTTAAAATTTTCAAACAAGAAAGAATCCAAAGACTGCTTTGAGTAAAGATGTAGAGAAAGACATTTCTAGCCTTCCCCAAATATTTGTGTTTTTTTAAACAAAGGGGAAACCTTTTCACAATTAAGACTATTTATTTTTCCATATATATCCACTGTTACATAAAATCCCAGAGGTTTTTGCAGTTACCTATAGTTAAGCTATTTGGATGTCAGAAAGATTATTGATGGCTGTAAACTAAAGGAAAACCCACAAATCTTATTTTGATAATATGAAATATAGTAAACTTATTAAATCATACCAGTTTTTAGAGGGAGATGGGAAATGAAGCATGCTCTAAAAATGACATTATACATACATGGTAATGCCTTTTAAAATGGCCAATCTACTAATCTACTTTGTAACTCTGGAGATGGCTATTTGTATGTGTGGGAGTAACTGAATATAGAATACAAACCAGGAGTGATATTTAGTTCATTTCCTACAGCTAGACTCCAAACTCTCCCACGAACACTAGGGGGCAATCCCTGCCACCACAATTCTCGAACTCTTCTCGTACTACGCCTAGAATTAAAAGGGGAGAAAAAAGGAGAAAGTTACTTTTTATACCAAAAATACTAGTTGCATGATGGTTTACCTTAGTCTATGGCCAAATGACTGAATGGTTTTTAAAAACACAGCAAGTTAAGTACATGATGCATTCTTTCTATTGTGTTCATGCCTGCAGGCCAGGAAAAAAGAGAACATGGCCCAAAAGTATAGCCCTGTACCCTAAAGAGAGACGACAGTAATTTAAAGGGAACTGCCTTCTATAATTGCCATTTATACTAATAAAAGAGCTAGAAATACATAGATAACTATGAAAAAAACCAGACAGGATAAAAGGAACAAAAATTTGTTGTGTATTTAGTACCCAAAAGAAAATAACAAAGTATTCAATGTGGGTAAGGCCCTAGTCTTTGAGAGGCAGTGTAGTCTGCTTACAGAGTATGGGCTTCAGAGTCAGATAGATCTGAGTTCAAATCTGGTTTAATCACTCATTAATTATATAACCTTGGGCAAATCACTTAACCTGTCTGACCTTGAGCTTCCCTATAAAATAAGTGGAAGTAAAGGTTGTAAGAATTAAATGTGATTACTTATGTAGAGCCTAATATAGTATCAGTCACAATGTCCAATGCTTAACTAATTCCAAATGCATTTCCTATACTAGGCATTGCAGAAGACAGCTCTTACCCTCCAGACTAGAGGAAAGATAAGGCGTGTACAAAAATATAAAAAATAAGAGACAAAGTAAAGAAGTATATTAGTCTCAAAGTACAATGGAACAATACAGAAGGGAAACATCATATATATAAATAATATATGTACCACATTCTTTTGATTATGAGAGAAGCATATTAAAAATCACTTTCATATTTAACATTTAATAAATGCATCTTATAATAAATGTACATACTTTAGTATTTTCTTTGCAAAAACCCACTATGACATCAATAGTACATTTTGCAACAAATGGTATATTAGAAGAAAGAAAATATGGTAACTAAGGAAAAAGTAAAGTTTCATGGATCAACTAGCATTTCAAATGGGACTCAAAGGATAAGTAAGATTCTGACAGGCATAGAGGATGGTCAGTAAGGAAAGCAGGTATTAGAAATTGAGGGATTTATGAAAGCAAGGGCACATATATAAGCATGAAATTTTCAAACATTGGTTAACAGTATAATTTAGCCAAAGCATAAGATTCATGGTGGAAGTAATAAAAATAGAGAATTGGAAACACGAGCTCTTTGGAGAAAGACTGAATTCAGGAAAAGTCTGCTTACTTACATTACTTCCCAATTGGGCAGTATTTCATTGATCCAAATTACCATTGCATTTGCAATATTTTCTTCCTGTTTAAATCGTTCTTTCATTATTTTTTTCCTTTTGTGTGCTTCTTTAATTTCTGTTTTAAACAAGTAAGAGTTATTTCAATACAAAAGAGCTAGATCAAAACCCCCTTCTCCTTCTACCTAAGCCTACAAAAAAGAGGCTTTCTCAAAAAAAGTATTCTGATAACAGGAAGGAAGGAAAAAGGGGAGAAAGAAGAAAACAGGAAAAAGCAGGGAAGAGGGAAAGGAGGTTAAAAGAGAAAGAAAATAAATTTGATTAACATAATTTTATTTAAAGATTTTATTTATTTATTTTTAGAAAGAGGGGAAGAGGACAGAGAGAAATATCGTGGTGTGAGAGAAACAGTTGCCTCCCACATGCCCCCCACTAGGAACCTGGCCTGCAACCCAGGCATGTGCCTTGACTGGGAATCAAACCAGCAGCCTTTCAGTTTGCAGGCCAGCGATCAACCCACTGAGCCATACCAGCCAGGGCTAATTTACATACTTTTAAAATAAACCTCCTATACTACAAAATGGAATAAAGACCAGAAAAATCACTTAAGAAGATTATAGTATCACATATGCTATTTATACTTAATCAATGAACTGAAATTTATCATAAATTAACTGTGTACAAAGTAACAACTGTGAGCAACTAAAGAATACTTTTTTTTCATATCAGGGGTCTATGAACTTCCTCACATAAAACCACATGACATTAAAAACAAAGTATGTTTCACTTTACTAATTAAAATTTTAAAATCCCCCAATATACTTCTAAAAATCAGAAGTCACAGTTTCAGAAGAAATGCCTCAAAAAATAGAGAAGTGAAATATATACACATTAACTATACATACATAGCTTTATATACATAGTTATATAATTATATATAATTTTAGAACTAACCAGTGGGGGTTTCAGATATTAGGGAGCTAAAGTGTTTTCTAAACTGTTTCACATATGCCTCAGGAATTGTCTTAAGGGGCACATAGGAGGCCAAGTAGGAAACTCCACTTTTTAAAATTTGTTTTATATATTCAGATTTGATGTGAGATTTCTTTGGAGAGGGTTCTATGACCTTAAAAGAAAGTGTTGACAGAGGACTTGGAAGCCCGCATCTAGTGTGTCCCACACACTTGACAGACGAGGATACTAACACTGGGTCTATTTAGAGTGTCACATCCAAGTAGTGCCAAACAGGATTAACGATGTGATCTTTTGATTTCCCAATTCAATGCTATTTCTTTCACAACAAGTTCTTAGGATTATCTACTTATCAGTAACTATCTTTTTTTTAATCCTTATCCAAGACAAGTCTATTGATTTAGAGAGAGAGTAAGAGAGGTGGAGAGAGAGATGGAAAGATCAATATGAGAGAGAAACATCGACTGGTTGCCTCCTGTAGGTACTCTGACCAGAGATCAAACCTGCAACCTAGGTATGTACCCTGACTGGGAATCACACCCACAACCTTTTGGTGTACCAGACAATGCTTCAACCCACTGAGCCACCCCGCCGGGGCTTAATAATGACCTTAAATATTTATTAAATAGTAAAGTCAGTGTTGAGAGTCAATTAAAATGCGTTGGATATGTTAGAAACATTTCAAAATCTATATAGAAAAATAAACTCAACTAATGTTTAAATGATTAGGCCTTTTAGAAAGAGATAATTGGCCTTATAGGTTTACTACATTAAATAATTAACTTCATTTCCAAAACAGTGCCACAAAATAGAACTATATACCATTATAATATTCCATTCACTTAAGTCAAGGAAAAATGATCAGTTGTTTAAATAGCATATGTTGAAAAGTGCACACACACACACTCACACACATGACAGCACACATTTAGGTGACACTCTGGGACTCTAGGGACTCCATTAAGTCACAAAAGCATATTTTAATATCAAACCAGATTCTCACAGCCATAAAGAAAGTCATCTTAAAGGGTTAAAATTATTAAATTATATCAAAAATCATGAGAAATATCTTCATTTACAAGATAATAACAGTCCACGGTTTATGACTGTAGTTGCAAGACCCCTCATATAGTTTGCTGCCTTTCCCCTCCCTACTAGTTTTGTAAAAGTACTTGCAGAAAAACTATGATCCTGGTATGACATTTTATTTCTCCCAAAGAGCAAACAGTTGTAAAAATAAATCACCATCCTCATAAAGACAGACTTTGTCAATTTCACCATCCACCTTCCTGTTGAAATTAACCTGTTGTAATCAGTAAATTAAATTTATAAACTGGAGTTAAATTTTATACCTCGTTTTTTAGCCTCAGCCACCATCTCATCATATTCTTGTCGGTGACGTAAAGCTTCTTCCACAGATTTGGCAGGAAGATTTCTGGGGGGAAAAATTTTTTAAATCACTTTTTAAAAAACTAACATTTAAATGTATTAACTTCTTTCTTTGTATAGATAGATACACAGAATTTCTAACCTGACCTCATTTCATACATTAAGAAAGTAAAAGGTTGAAAAGAACTCTGCATTTTATAAAAGAATCAGAATCCAGGTTGCTCATATCTGTTATTTTTACATATTTATATATCAAATGTATATGTTTATGTATTTTTTTGCATGTCAAGTTTCAGCCAATATTTCTAGGTTATTTGTTAAAACCACTTACTGAAGTTTTTAAAGTCAACCTTTGTAGGTATAATTCATATGTGATAAAATGAACATATTGTAAAAGTACAATTTGGTAAGTTTTGACAGTTTTACATATCTTTGTCACTAACATACTAATCAAGATACAGAACATTTCCATTATTCCACAAAGTTTCCGTATGACCCTTTGCATACAATGCTTACCCAACTTCTACCTTAGGCAATCACATCTGTAATTTCTATCCCTACACATTAGTTGGCTGCCTAGTTGGCTGCCTTTTAAAGAGTTTCACATAGATTCTTTTTTGTCTAACTTCTTTTGCTCAGCATATTTTAAAAATCATCCACGCTGTTCTGATTATTACCATGTATTCCTTTTAATTGGTGAGCAGTGTTCTATTTACATTCTTTGAATATTTAGATTGTTTCCAGTTTGGGGCCACTATGAATAAAACCACAATAAATATTCATTTATCCAAACTCTTGTGTGGATATCAGCTTTCATTTATCTATAGGTAAATACCTGAGAGGAGAATTCTTGGGTCACATGGTAAGTGCAGGTATACTTTTATAACAAACTCCTTTGTAGTTTTAGAGTTTCAAGATAATGTTAATCACTTATATATACTATATTCTGGTTTATAAAATTAAGAGCTTCACAGAGCCAGTGATTTAGATATATGAGTATGCAAAAAGATATTTTGAAAGTATTATCACATATCCAAATGTATTATAATAATGTCTGATTTGGGGAGTCGGTTTTAAAAATTCTTTTCAATAGGCTAGGGTGAAGAAAGGTTTGTGATAAACTTTCAAATTTACATTGGACTTCTTCCTCTCTTCTCAAGTTATAAATTATAGTCAGATTCCTTAAGTATGTTGTAGCAGGGATGAATAATGGTTAATGGTTAAGACTTCTGCTTCATAATGATGCAAGAGAGACCAGGTTTATCCTCTTACCTTAATTAATTAGAAAATCAAACAAAATATATTAAACTACAGTGTTTAGACACTGGACAACAGGCAGTACAAGGTAGTGATGTTATGAGAAAGGAAACACAGTAATCCTCCAAGTGCCTGAGCTTACAGCCAGTAGTTTCCGAGTCTCAGTGCTAGAAGGGAGTACATAAATAGAGCCCACCAGTTTTGCTGAATTAAGGAAACAGTATGGAGTTGGAAAGCCCGAGATGGCTAGACTATACAGATTAGACTACCCGAGAGGAGAAAAGCACGGAGAATTCCCCTCAAGTCTTTGGCAGAGTACTGATCTATGGGTGCATGTGATTAAACCAGGGTAGCCAGGGAAAGAAAGACCAGAAAGGAATAGGTAGAGCATTCTCAAAGGTCACACTGGACCAGCCAAAGTTGAAAGACCATCTAATAGAGTGGGTATCAAGTGGAATCCTTAGGGTACTGCCGCAGGAGTAAGGATAAATTAGCTACTAGCCACAAGAGGCTACTACTGGGCACTTGACTTGAAATGTGGCTAGTGTGCATAAGGAACTGAATTTTTTATTTTATTTAACTTTAATTAATTAAATTTAATTTTAGGTAGCCACACATGGCTAGTTGCTACCATAATGGATAGTACAGGCCTAGACTCTAGAGAAACAGGAAGCACTCACTGCCATCCTGGTCATTTACATAAGGGAATGGAACTAAATTATGAATAAGCACAAAGATCACAGATTTTAAGCAAATAATAGAACTATGTCTCAAAACCATGGTTGTAAAGGCCTTGTTAATAAATTCTTTTATACACATGTATTTCACTGACAATTAGCACCTTCATATTTCCAGACAGTTCCTCAAACTGTGTGACCTAGTCCTGAAAGATTAAAAAAAAAAAAAGAGGCTAGCATGTACCTTTTATATCTTAGTATTAAATGATTTGCATAAAGGAATTAAACACTGTTCAGGGTACAGAAATTTTCAGATCATCCTACACCAGGTTTTGTTTTATTGCAATTTCATTTCTTCAAAAATGAATACTTATGAACACATTCTAAAACAAAATAGTACATAAACAATAATTATAAATTCTATGTCTTGGTATCCCCTTTTTGAATCATCATAAATGCAAAAACCTTGGTAAATAGTGGGTGTTGAATAATTATGGTCCAAATTTGAATGATCCATATGGTAAATATCCTACCAATCTTTGACAGTCTGAGGAACAGCAAAGCTTCAATACCATAATTGCTAAGAAACTATATGCTGTACAGAAAATAAAGCATAAAAACAATGTATACAGACTTGTTTTGTGGGGGTCTTTTCAAATCATTAATTTTGCAGTCATCTGTCTGGAGAAGTAAATAAAAAAATCAAATTTTTCAGTCTTTGTTGGGAACCACCCTGCTTGGTTTCAAAAGCTATAAACCCCCATGGCTAAGGCTGAGTGGGAGTGAGTTAAGATGTCCAAGCTTTCTTGCCTGCTTCAAATTAGGACCATAAGTCACTAAGGAGACAAAGCTTACTTCCCTTGCAGGAGCACTGTCTCTGCCCACTTTACTTCACCCTGCCTGGCCCCCAGTGCATGACTCGTTAGCCAATAATGGGTTAAGATTCCTCAAAGGAGGGATGACCTAAGACAGGTGTAGTCATGGGGAGCCCTGAGGGAAGGACTTGGGGGGGCTATAGAAAAAGGGGGTGATGGACCCTTACCCCTCAGCTTTGACATAGCCTGAGTCCTCATTCTGTCTGCAAGAAGTCTCCTAATCTCTTGGCTGCCTTACTTCCCCTGCCTGACCTAAGCCTGAAACAATGTGGTACAGCCCTGGGCAGGAACAGGAAGTTCCCCAGGGCATGATTGCTAGGGAACATGATTCCTGATGGACCAAGAAAGAAATGCATAAAATCCTGTGAAACCTGCTTTGCCAATACCCTCAATTTAAGTGATAAGGATCCAAGCATGAAATAAGTTTGTTTCACCAAAGTTTTATGGCCTTTTAGCTATCTGACTCTGATTCAAAATAAGTCCTCATAGTTCTTTTTTTTCCTTTAATTTTTTTATTGATTATGCTGTTACAGTTGTTCTATTCCCCCCTTCATTCCCCTCCACCCTACCCCCATCCCCACCATTACCCCCCCTTTAGTTTATGACCATGTGTCTCAAGTTCTTTAGATTCTATATTTCTCATACTATTCTTGCCCCCCCATCTATTTTCTATCTTCTGTTTATGCTACTTATTTTCTGTACCTTCTCCCCCCTTCTTCTCCTCCCACTCCCCTGTTGCTAACCCTCCATGAGATCTTCATTTCTATGTTTCCACTCCTGATCTAGCTGTCCTCTTGGTTTGCTTTTGTTTTAGGTGTGGTTGTTAACTGTGAGTTTGTTGTCCTTTCACTGTTCATGTTTTTTTTAACTTCTTTTTCTTAGATAAGTCCCTTTAACATTTCATATAATAAGGGCTTGGTGATGATGAACTCCTTGAATTTGATCTTATCTGAGAAGCACTTTATCTGTCCTTCCATTCTAAATGAAAGCTTGGCTGGATAGAGCAATCTTGGTTGTAGGTCTTTGGATTTCATGACTTGGAATACCTCTTTCCAGCCCCTTCTTGCCTGTAAGGTCTCTTTTGAGAAATCCGCTGACATTCTGATGGGAACTGCTTTGTAGGTGACAGTCCCCTTATCTCTTGCTGCTTCTAGGATTCTCTCCTTCATTTTAATTTTGGCTAATGTAATTATGATGTGCCTTGGTGTGTTCCTTCTTGGGTCCAACTTCTTTGGTACTCTCTGAGCTTCCTGGATTTCCTGGAAGTCTATTTCCTTTGCCAGATTGGGGAAGTTCTCCTTTATTATTTGTTCAAATAAGTTTTCCACTGGTGGCTGTTCCTTTCCCCCTTCTGGTACCCCTACAATTAGGATGTTGGAGCGTTTAAAGATGTCCTGAAGGTTCCTAAGGCTCTCCTCATTTTTTTGAATTCTTGCTTCTTCACTCTTTTCTGTTTGGCCATTATTTGGTTTCTTCTGGTCCACTCCATTGATTTGAGTCCCAGTTTCCTTTTCATTGCTATTGGTTTCCTGTGCAATTCCATTCATTTCAATTAGTTTCGCCTTCATATGTTTGTCTAATTTGTGGCTATAATCAACCAGTTCTGTGAGCATCCTGATCACCATTGTTTTAAACTGTGTGTCTGAAAGTTTTGCTATTTCTTCATTGCTTAGATTTATAGGCTCTGGGGCTTTGAGATCTTCTTGAGCCATTTTTGGTCTGTTTGTGCTCATTAAGTATGAGGAGCGGAGCCTTGGACTCCCAGGTCGCTGGGTTGTGACGCTGTATGTGGAGGCGGGGTCAGAGCAGGGAAATGGCAGCCCCCTCTGCCGTTTCACGCAGCTGGGTGAAGAGCAGAGCCTTTGGTTGTTCACTGGGGCAGGGCCACTTAGGTCGCTGGATTATGACGCTGTATGTGGAGGCGGGGTTAGAGCGGGGAAATGGCAGCACCCTCCTCCGCCGCTTGACGCTGGGGCTGCTGGCTCTCGTCCAATGGACCACTCCCTCGCTTGTCTATCCACACACCAATGCGCGACCACAGTCAACCCGCAGCCCTGCTCCTTCACTGTTTCCCCACGATTGCTTGCTGAGATGCCCACCAGGTCCAACCCTGCGCCTGGATTCCGCGCGCCTGAGTCCATCTGACCGAGTTTTCCTGTGCTACCCCGCTCTGCCAGCTTCTGGTTTCGTCCCTCTTACCAGTCAGGCTGAAGAATTTGTTGTTATCAGACTTCCGAAAAGTTCAATTTTCTGTGTTCTGGCTGTGTTTTCTGTTGCTATTATTTAGTTGTCTCTAAACTTGGTTGTGTGAGGAAGCACGGCGTCTCCACCTATGCCTCCATCTTGGCGGAAGTCCCCTCATAGTTCTTTGAATGTTATCTTTTGTTTGATCCTTACTGCCTGACGATATTTGATGAGCTTTACGTATATACACCCTGTATTTCTATGCAAATAAACCCAACAAATGCCCATTGAGGAACAGGCTCCTGGCTCTTCTCCTTTGAGAGACTATCTTTCCTCCCCTGGCAGATTATGTCTTGGTACACTTACTCTCATGTGTGGCAGCCAGGGCTGTGGATGGAAACCGCCCCCCGCGCCCCCACCTCCAGGTCTTGAAAATCAAAGACTGAGTAAATAAAATATTATCAATCAAGAAATGTTAAACACCTTACTCAGCACTTAAATACTCTAAGGAAAAGATATGGCTTATTCCTATCTCTCATAAAAGTGTCAACCAGTTATGTGGTCAAGAGAGAAACCATTAATGAATATCTAAGATAGCATATCATGCTAAAAATCACGGTATGAACATTTGCTACTACTCAAAGGCATTACATAAAAAACCTGCACTTCACTTTTTGTCACCTTTCACTTGTATCTTTAAGTGTTTCTATCATTTCATTTGACACTAGTGTGAATAATAATTCACTGAGAAAGCTAAAAGAGAAAAAAGGTAGCTCTATCCACTGGTGGTTTAAAAAACATAGTTCCATAAGTATAAGTGATTTTTTAAAAAATGTATGAGGCTGGTATCAACACGATCAGCTAGTAAGAATTTTCTTATCTTCTCATCCAAGGCTGCCTTTATTGTGATCTGGACTGGTAAGATGGGAACAGGGAGACAAAATTAACAAAAGGATGAAATTACAGAAATTCCTATATTTGAAGTCCTCTGATACTTCAGATTAATAATCTGTAATACTGTAATTGCATCATATATGAAAATGTTTTGACTATAAAAACCTATGCTGTCAATGATTTTGGGTGCTACTGAAAATTAGAGGTTAAAAAAGGAAAAGTAACATCAATTCACAAATTCCTTTTGCAATGGGAAACTACTTCTCTATTATCACTTTGACCTATGGAAAAGGACATTTTCAACATCAGTTCCAAGATGAGGAAAAACTTCTGCCTTTTCCTCTACCTCCTCATAGATGCCACCTCATAACTGAAGTAGTAAAAGGAGTGTTAACCAAACCAAGCTGCATCCACAAACAGAAGAAACAAAATTGTGCAAGTCTCTCCTCCAGTTTCTCAGCCTGTGAAAGGATGAATGTTAGCTGGTCCCAATCTGTTAGGAGAGTATTCTGGGGGAGATAAAAGGAGGTGCCACTTAACACTCAGTTGCACCCCTGTATTCACATCTGGTTTTATCCTCAATAAAACTGAAGTTTTCACTCTCATCTGTTCTCTATATGTTTCAATTGTTGTAGCAGAGGAAGGATAAGTGATTAGATATTCCATATTCAACACCATGGAAAGCCTTTGTTTGTTGGTTTAAGTTACTTAAATGTAAGTCATATAAATCACTTCCCCCATAAATATCACTTCAAATGTAAAGAGGTGAACAAATTTTTAAATTAATTCACAGCATCTCAGAGCTGAGCGAAACAGTAGCTACCAAGGTGAATCTCAATATTACATACAAACAGCATAAAAGCTACAATATTTAAACTTAATATATTAATTTCAGACAGTCAATAGTACAGTGAAAAACAAAGCACTTTTTCCAATTGCTTATTTGGTACACTGAGATTTTATAATGTTATTGTGTTGGATGTATTTTTTTTCAAGTTCCAAGTCCATGGAACTGCTTGTATAAGTTACAAGAAAAATTTAAGAGAAGCAGATATCACTGAAGGTTGAAGACGTCAACAAAAACTTGACTTGATAAAAAATAAATAAAGCTTAATCTCTACAGGATTGGGTATGTGAGTAGTAAAAATAAGGTAACTGTATTCTGAAGGCAGTAACATGAGCAAAGGCATGAAGGCAAGGAGACTTACACAGATCCGATTGTAAAATAGAGGATGGTGACAAGAAAAATTTGTTCAAAAGACTGTCTAGCACAGAACTTTTTGCATAGTATTTTTACAAACTCCTTCTGGGAAGAAATTAGCATTTCTCCTTAAAAAAGTTAATCCATTTTGGATGAATTTTAACAAGTTTAAGCTCTTCTGGGACCTTAGTTATCTTCCTCCTCAGTCAACTGTCAGTCAAGATTCGAAAGATCTTTAGCTAGGTATTCTTTTCTTGATTATCTAACCACTCTTTTAATTGGCCTAGTTCATTCTCCTCCTTGTCAACAAGACAAAACTGTGACACTTTTCATAACTAAATTTCTAAAGATCTTTTTCTTACCAACAGAAAAATATAACATTCACCAAATCCTTAAAAAAAAGGAGCAATGTGATCACAATTCTTTAGCGTAAAAATATGAAAAAAGAATTCAAAAATAAATGTACTTATGTCCAGATTTCTTCTCTCACAATGAAAAAATATTCAACCTGTCTGTTTGGTTCCAGGTTCTTTTATTATGCGCCTCGGGATAATGGGTGGAAAAAGCTGCAGACCAGGAAAATGACAAAAAAAGTTAGAAATTACTACCCTGGAAGGACAGAGAAGTCTAGAAGAAGAAAAAACAATACATCCAGAGGCCTAAGAAGGGTGTGCTTTGTTTGACAACAAGTCAGAGACAATATTTTGAAGAATAGCAACTTTGCGGACCACTGAGATGGGAAGATCAGGAATGGGAAAGGGAGAATTTAAGATGGTTTTCTGGGTTTTAATAATGTATTCTTAGTAACAGTAAACTAAGAGGTGGACAGTCATTTCGATTTTCCAGCAGGCAAGACAAATACCCTTAAGTACATGTTAAATGTTAAGAAAGAAAAAATAACTGCCGAATCATGTTAAGGTAAGGTATAAGAAGGCTGAAATAGAAACAAATACAGAAAGCTGAAATGTTATGTCTTACACATTGGTTCTTAGAGACTTCTAAAAAATATGCCTAAGGCTTGAACATCAACTGTATATTCCTTCCCATTAGTTTTAGGATATGTAACTGGTATTTAACTTTTTTTAAATTTTAATTGTTGCTCAAGTACAGTTTTCTGTCGTTTACCCCCATCCCAGTCCAACCCCCACCCTCCCCACCTTCCATCCATTTCCACCCCTCCTTGTTATTGTCCGTGTGTCCTCTATATTTGTTCCTGCAAACCCCTTCCCTTTCCCCCTGAAATTCCCTCCTCTCTCCACTTTGGTCACTGTGAGCCTGTTTTCAATTTCAGTGTCTTTGGTTATATTTTGCTTGTTTGTTTTGTTGATTAGCTTCCTGTTAAAGGTGAGATCATGTGGTATTTGTCTTTCACCACCTGGCTTATTTCACTTAGCATAATGCTTTCCAGTTCCATCCATGCTGTTGCAAAGGGTAGGAGCTCCTTCTTTCTTTCTGCTGGGGATTTAAATTAAAAAAAACAATAAAGCCATTTTTATATCTATTTTCTTGGTATTTTTTGTGTGAAATGGTAAGCAAAATTATACTTAAGTTTAAAACATAAACAGCGAGCCAGATGAGCATTAGATTACTTACGATGGTCGGTCCTCAAGAATCAGGGCAGTGGTAGAAAGCGGCTCAAATTCAAAATTCTTACGTCTTGATGACTGAGGTGGTGGTTTACAGGTCCTCCCTGTTCGTGCTTCGTATTCCTAGAGTAGATAAAAATATACTTTATGCAGAGACTTCCCCAATTTTCATCATATCCTAAATCTGTATCATTAAGGATATTATACTATAAAAGGGATACATATAATTCACACATTAATCTGGAAAAATATCAGGCAGACCAAAAAAGAGTCACCTTTTACCCTGAAGCAAACTAATTTAGGGATTTATATTGCATATAAAGTATCAAAGTGTGGTAGAAGAGGGGAAAACAGAAATAGATTAATGAGGTAAGGTTTTTAGGGAGATGTTCCTGATTGGCATCTAAGGTATCAGCTATCCAAGTCTAGCTTTGAAACTACTTTCTAAACCTTCAACCAAATCAATGATGGAAATGCTGGCACAAAATAATCCTGCCGAAATGCTCTTAAGATCTTTTTTCAAGGGTGACCCTGAACCTCTAATCAAATGCTGGTTTTGAATTCCAACCTACTTTGAATCTAACTACTATAAATCTACCTACTTACTCTAAATTTAAACAATTCACCAATATATCTTATCCAATAATATGTCCAAAGACTTAAATACTTCACTAAAATTAATGAACTGCTACTACAGTAGTCTGCCCTTATCTGCATTTTCACTTTCAGTGGTTGCATTTACCCACTGCCAACCACAGACCAAAAATGTTAAATGAAAAATTCCAAAAATAAACAATTTATAAGTTTTAAATTGCATGAATCTTGAGTAGCCTAATGAAACCTCAAGCCATTCCAGTGGGACATGGATCATCCCCTTTAGTCTCTCAGTGGTTCTTAAGCTATCAAATTAAGACTACTGCAGTCCCTTCACAGTATTCTAGGTTATCATGCAACAATGCTTGTGTTCACACAACCTGTCAGAAAGGTCAACAACAAGCTTAACTGTTTGTTATTTCTAGAACCCACATTTTCCCTTTCTAAAAAAAATAATAATTAAGCTAGTGCTTGCTCATCACTGGGTAATACATACAGTGTGGAGCAAAAGTGGATCTGCAGTTGTTCCTATGGAAAATATCGTAATTAATAAATAATAATACAAGAATAAACTCTGTGTTTTGCATACTCACAATAATAAACCTACTTTTGCCCTACCCTGCATACTTTTCATGAAATTCTCAAAGACTATTCAATGAGACTTCCGCCAAGATGGAGGCATAGGTGGAAACACTTTGCTTCCTCGCACAACCAAATCTAAAAACAACAAAGCTTTAACAACAATAAATGCAACCAAACCACAGAAAATCGAACAATATGGAGTCCGAAAACAACGAACTGCTCAGCTAAACCAGTGAGAGGGGCGAAGCCAGCAGTGGAGCAGGTCGGGCAATAACGATACCCACCCCCCAGACCCAGGCGGTAAGCAAGCAGTCTAGGGCGCGGACCCCAGGTGCGGGGTAGCTACGGGAAGGTGGGAAGGCGCAGCGCGGCTGGCTGTCTGAGGTCGGGCATTTGCACGCAGATAAACCAGTGAAGAGACCTGCATTAAGACAGACAGCAAAGGCCCCAGTGCAGGGCACTGGCATCGCACATTTGCACTCAGATAAACAGGCGGGGGCAAGCGATGAAGTGGACCCGGCGAGCTGAGAGGACCACCATTGCTCCCTCTCTGACCCCGCCTCCACATACAGAGTCATAAACCAGCGACCTGGGGGGCCTCGCTCTGGTAAACAACTAAGGCTCTGCTCCTCATACGTAACAGGCACAAACAGATCAAAACATGGCTCAAGAACAACTCAGAGCCCCAGAGCCAATAAATCTAAGCAACAAAGAAACAGCCAAACTTTCAGATGCAAAGTTCAAAACACTGGTGATCAGGATGCTGACAGAACTCGTTGATTTTAGTCACAAATTAGAGGAACATATGGAAACTAAACTAATTGAAATGAAGGGAAATACACAGGAAACCAATAGTAATGGAAAGGAAACTGGGACTCAAATCAAAGGAGTGGACCAGAAGGAGGAAAAAAAATAACCAAACAGAAAAGGATGAAGAAACAAGAATTCAAAAAAATGAGGAGAGCCTTAGGAACCTTCAGGACATCTTTAAACGCTCCAATATCCGAATTATAGGGCCACCAGAAAGGGAAGGGGAACAGCCACAAGTGGAAAACTTATTTGAACAAGTAATAAAGGAGAACTTCCCCAATCTGGCAAAGGAAATAGACTTCCAGGAAATTCAGGAAGCACAGAGAGTCCCAAAGAAGTTGGATCCAAGAAGGAACACACCAAGGCACATCATCATTACATTAGCCAAGATTAAAATGAAGGAGAGAATCTTAGAAGCAGCAAGAGGTAAGGGGACAGTCACCTACAGAGGAGTTCCCATCAGACTGTCAGCTGATTTCTCAAAAGAGACCTTACAGGTAAGAAGGGGCTGGAAAGAAGTATTCCAAGTCATGAAAACCAAAGACCTACATCCAACATTGCTCTGTCCAGCAAAGCTTTCATTTAGAATGGAAGGGCAGATGAAGTGCTTCTCAGATAAGATCAGATTCAAGGAGTTCATTATCACCAAGCCCTTATTATATGAAATGTTAAAGGGACTTATCTAAGAAAAAGAAGATTAAAAAGATGAACAGTGAAAGGACAGCAAACTCACAGTTATTAACAACCACACCTAAAACAAAAGCAAACTAAGAGGACAGCTAGATCAGGAGCAGAACCATAGAAATGAAGATCACATGGAGGGTTAGCAACAGGGGAGTGGGAGGAGGAGAAGTGGGGAGAAGGTACAGAAAATAAGTAGCATAGACAGTAGATAGAAAATATAGGGGGAGGGCAAGAATAGTAGGGGAAATATAGAATCTAAAGAACTTGAGACACATGGTCATAAACTAAAGGGGGGAATGGTGGGGGAGGGAGTGTGCAGGGTGGAGGGGAATGAAGGGGGGAAATAGAACAAATGTAATGGCATAATCAATAAAATAAAAAAGATTATTCAATGATTTCATGAGTACATCTACAAGCTCACTGGCAGCTACAGAAGACATTAATTTAAATGAAGAAAATTCAATGCACTTAGAGTAGTCAACTGTTTTACTTGCAACGGCTTTCCTATCATGGCCTCTTTCTTTTTATATTATCATTTGCTTTGCTAACTCACACACTGCTTCTCCCTACTAAATCAGACATTTGCAAAATATGAACAATGGTTCCATCCCTCTTAAAATTTGATGATCTTGTTGAACCTTAATCTTAAGATATTACCTTAAAAAAATTTGTCGTCTTAAACATTTTCTTTTTTTTTTTTTTTTTTTTTAATTAATTAAATTTATTTATTTTTTTGAATTGATTATGCTGTTACAGTTGTTCTATTCCCCCTCCATTTCCCTCCACCCTGCCCCCCAACCCCACCATTACCCCCCTTTAGTTTATGTCCATGTGTCTCAAGTCCTTTAGGTTCTATATTTCCCAAACTATTCTTGCCCCCCCCCATCTATTTTCTATCTACTGTCTATGCTACCTGTTTTCTGTACCTTCTCCCCCCCCTCTCCTCCTCCCATTCCCCTGTTGCTAACCCTCCTTGAGATCTTCATTTCTGTTTCCACTCCTGCTCTAGCTGTCCTTTTAGTTTGCTTTCGTTTTAGGTGTGGTTGTTAATAACTGTGGGTTTGTTGTCCTTTCACTGTTCATGTTTCTTTATCTTCTTTTTCTTAGATAAGTCCCTTTAACATTTCATATAATAAGGGCTTGGTGATGATGAACTCCTTGAATTTGGTCTTATCTGAGAAGCACCTTATCTGTCCTTCCGTTCTAAATGAAAGTTTTGCTGGGTAGAGCAATCTTGGTTGTAGGTTTTTAGATTTCATGACTTGGAATATTTCTTTCCAGCCCCTTCTTGCCTGTAAGGTCTCTTTTGAGAAATCTGCTGACAGCCTGATGGGGACTCCTTTGTAGGTGACTGTCCCCTTAGCTCTTGCTGCTTCCAGGATTCTTTCCTTCATTTTAATTTTGGCTAATGTAATTATAATATGCCTTGGTGTGTTTCTTCTTGAGTCCAACTTTTTTGGTACTCTCTGGGCTTCTTGGATTTCTTGGAAGTCTATTTCCTTTGCCAGATTGGGGAAATTTTCTTTTATTATTTGTTCAAATAGTTTTTCCACTGGTGGTTGTGTCTTTCCCCCTTCTGGTACCCCTATAATTCGGATATTGGAGCGTTTAAAGATGTCCTGGAGGTTCCTAAGACTCTCCTCATTTCTTTGAATTCTTGCTCCTTGACTCTTTTCTGCTTGTCCATTATTTGCTTTCTTCTGGACCCTTGCATTGATTTGAGTCCCAGTTTCCTTTTCATCTCTATGGGATTCCTGTGGAATTCCATTCATTTCCCTTAATTTAGCCTCCATATGTTTCTCTAATTTGTGGCTGTAATCCACCAAATCTGTGAGAAAGGTGATGACCAGTGTTTTAAACTGTGCATCTGAGAGTTTTGCTATTTCTTCGTCATTTAGATTTATCTCTGGGGCTTTGAGTTCTGCCTGCGACATTTTTGGTCTGTTCTGGCCCTTTAAGTGGGACAAGCGGCGCCTTGGAGTCCCAGGTCGCTGGGTTGTGACGCTGTATGTGGGGGTGTGGTCAGAGCAGGAAATGGCCGCCGCCGCCGCCGCCGCCGCCGCTGCTGCCGCCGCCGCGCTGGTCCAACCGCTTACTCCCTCACTCGCGCGCAACCAGAGTTAATTCGTTGCCACCGCCTCCCCACTGTGTCGCTCCCCCGGTGGGCTGCTCGGCGGCTCACCAGGTCCAATCCTGGGTTTGGAACCCGCGTAACTGGATTCGCGCGCCGATTCCGCGCCGGTCCGACCGAGCCCTCCTTTGTAAGTCCTCACCGGACACTGGTTTCGCACCTTACCGGTCAGGCTGAAGAATTTGTTGTTAGCGGACTTCCGAAAAGTTCAGTTTTCCGTGTTCTGGTTGTGTTTTGTGATGCTAATATTTAGTTGTCCCTAAACTTGGTTGTGTGAGGAGGCAGGCACATCCAGCTAAACCTCCATCTTGGCGGAAGTCAA